CGGGGACGGGGGGGCCGCCGGCTCCGCTGCTGCAGCCTCTGCTCCCAGGGCCGCCTGATTTCACAGTTGTTTGCACAGGAATTAAAGTTGAGAACACCGAGACGGAATGGCGGTGAGGTCAGTTCCATGGTGGAGAATTGACATTACTCGCAGTTATCCAGGTACCTAAGGTACGTGCAGCTGGACAAGCCAGGAAGATGGATGTGCAGGAAGACAGAAATTTGCTGCAAGGAGCCGCTTAAAATGTGTGGTTGGGACACACATTGTCATTCCCACTGTGCTTCTGGCCGAGCGTGTTTCTTTGCGACGCTTGTCCTCATCATTATGCAGATTAGTAGACCCTGAAAATGGTTTGCTTGGATCTTAATGGCGTTTGTGTGTGTGAATGTGGGTGGAAGGTGCTTACCTACCACTCAGGCTGTCAGGAATATACGGACACCGCTTCTGACTGCAAACATGTGCCCCGCTGCAAATTCTGCGCCTCTGTCCTCCTATTTTTCCCCTTAAATCCTAGAGCGCGCGGGTGAACCGAAAGAAGATTTAAACATCCATGCAGGTGTAAGATGACTATCAAAGGCGCAGTCCAACAGCATGCCAGAAAAGACTCATGACTAATACGATCTTAGTGAGCCAAATTCTTCAGTTACTTCTGCAGGTGATGTTTTACATAACATTTACAAACCAGAGGTGTGTTATTAAGTGGTAGAAAGAACAGAAAGACTATTTGCTGTGTTTTGGAAGAGTCAAACACAAGGGCAATTACAAGATCATCCCATTATATAGCTGCCTTAAGAATACAATTGGAAAATATGTCATTTGTTCATTGTAATTACAGTATAAAATGCCATTTCTCATTACTGCTCCTCAATTAAGAAAACACAGTTTGTTCCCTCAACTTAATATATTACCTGACCTATACTGAAGAATATTATTCTTGACAATGGTGAATGCACAGGAGTGCCATTTATGGCGAGGATACCCTTCTCTAACCAAGGGGACTATATGATAATGCTTGCCACAACGTCTTTACTGCCACTAAATAACTCATGCTCCTAAATTGTTTACATGGAAAAGGTTAAAGCAGCTAATACAATGATTTCATACAAAAAAATAAGTTTGCCTATAATTAAGAGAATCTAGCTGTAAAAATTAATTGTACCTACCTAACATTTGGAGATTGTGTGCTCTCTTGTGGTTTTCATCGCTTTTTGAAGTGGTGCAGCACACCTGATCGTAATCACTCTAGAACTGACCTGTTCTCCAGTAATGCAGCTCTACAGCATCTAGCAAGAAATCCTAGGTGCTTTTTGTTCACCTTTTCATTTCTTCTGAAATGGCGGGAGTATGTTCAGTAATCATAAAATATAAACAAACAATGTGAGTGTAAAAACTATATACTGCTAACTATGGTAATTCTTTGTCGTTTTCCCATTTTGGTTAAGACAGTGAATAAGACTAGTCCAGTGAAAATGGCCCACTTTAAAGATCTTGGATCACGTATCATACTAAAACCAAATTACTTTAAAGGATTTGTAGTGTTATCTCTCTACTTCCTTTTCCCAAATTAGCATGTTATGGACAGTTTTTGTTTTATTCTGTTTTATTCCATTTCTGTGTATTCCATCTGTGGTAGGAGAACATAAGTTTGGAAATGTATTTGTTAAAGGGCTTTAGTCATGTGGAACTGGTGATGTAAAACATATCAATAAAGAACAAAATGTGCTTAAAGGCTATTTTAACATCCTCCTAAAATGTTTTTCATAGTTTTATTGCACTTACCACTTGTTTTTAAAACGGCACTTCTAGCACGCAACATCCACTACAAAAAGTGGAAAAGATTTCACACCTAAGATTTTGCTCTTAAGACCTGCTTTTTGTGCACACAGCCATCAGTGAGGCAATGCCAGCAAGTCGTCTAAGTCAAGTAACATCCAGTTCAACAACAGTTATTTCCTTTGGAATTCGTCAGCATTGATTTAGTTGCCGATAGTGGTGTTGAAGCATTTTAGTCTACCTGTGCGCTAGGTTTGATGTACGCCCGATACTTCTTTCTGTAAAACATGAACCTCCATAGTGGCTATGTTATTCTAAAAATAAGTTTAGTCATTAATTGAAATATTTTTATGTAACTTCAAAAAAATTCACTATGAAAGTATTTACAAGCAAGAATTTGTACGCCTTTTTGTTAGAGCAAAGATTCTGTTCATATTTTGGGCTTAATCTACTTCAAAATGATGGATCTGGAAGTGAATTAGAAGCGGGGGAGAGGTGGTAAATCTCTTTTGCTACTCTACAAAATAAAGAATCTGAGGTAAAAATTCTGAGATTTTCTTGTCAGCTATCTAACACTGCTGCTGAGAGAAGACCCAATGGGAAAGGGACAAGTGATATACGAAGAAACTAAAACCAAGTAAACGAGATCCGAACTGCACCAGCATGCAAATACAGAAAAAAAGGATGAGAATAAAAGGGAGGTGGGGAGATAAGGGAAAGCAAAGACTTTTCTTTGTTTGTTTGGGTTTTTTTAAAGCTCCAAAACTCTCCGGGTGCACTGTAACAACAGTTCTATGAAGGCTCAGTTGCTCAAACCGAGGATTTTTAAAGCAATGGGAGTTTGACCCCAAGAAAAATGAGACCAAGTTCCTGACAGAGAGGCTATCAAGATAACTTGATTAAGTTAAAGAACTTTGGGAGATGGAAAAAAACTAGAAAAGCCTTACAGTTTGCAGCTTACTTAGAATTAGTCTTCTGATTTTTGATTGTTTTGAAGCACAGGTAGTGTTCTAGCTGAATGCTGCGTGTAACATACTTGCCACTGGCATAGAACAACTGCCCCGTTATCCTGCCAACCAAGTTCCTTTAGGATAGCATCCGGCTGTAAGCTGTAGTTAATGAGAGAGACTCACTGAAAAGCATGGGAAAGACAACAACGCTCCTTTATGTGATATGCTACAAGCTAAAGGTAATCGGCTGTTTTCAATATAGGTTTTACTTCATTGTAGTAAACTAAGGACAAAATGATTGGATCAGTACTTTGGGTAAAGCCTTCACTTCCAAATCAACCACAGCCCTTACTCATCTAAGACCCAAGCTGTCGAAAAGCTGTATGAGCTAGTACTCTCCAGCTAAATTAGTATTTCACAACTTTTTTCTTTTTCCAAGTACACCACCACCTGGAAATGTTCAGTCAGCAGATACAAATTTATAAGCTTTCTCATTCTTAATAGAATTGTTTATAGTTGGGAGACAAGACACAAAATTAAGTTGATCAGAGACTTGTGAACAAGTGCATAAGTAGAGTTAATTCATTTTTATCTGTTTATGGTACAGTACATCTCTGATTAGAATATGCAGCAGGTTTTTCATATCCTCCACAGGATTCAATTTTCTCAAAAGGCATGTATAGATTTGATAAAGAGCTAGCAAGGATGATCAGCAGATAAACATGTGCCAGGCCTCCAGATACAAGACATTGATCAGAGTTAAAATTCTGAAGCCATCCGCCCCACAGACTGTTTTGTCAGAGCAGGTGTAGATAATTTACAGCAGTCAGGGAGAAAAGTTACGTTAGCTGAACGGGTACACCAGAGCAGTGACACTCTGCAGCACCGCTGTAGCCTGCAGGATGGAGGTTTCCTCAGCTGCAGGAAGTTAGCCGTGACAATTCTGGTAGGTTGTTCATGGTCTCCTCTCACTTCCATGATCTGGAAAAAGCACAAAAGTCACAAGTTCATAAGTACTTTGGAAACTTTAAGAAAATCTTTGCCATGGTGTAACCCTGGTAGCCAGCTCAGTCCCCCTCAGTGGGACAGGGGAGAGAATCAGAAGTGTAAAAGTGAGAAAACCCGTGGGTTGGGATAAAGGCAGTTTAATAGGTAAAGCAAAAGCCACGCGCACACGCAAAGCAAAGAATTCATTTGCTACTTCCCATGGGCAGGCAGGTGCTCAGCCATCCCCAGGAAAGCAGGGCTCCATCATGTGCAACACTGTCACTCCAAATGTCCCCCCCTTCCTTCTTCTTCCCCCAGCTTTATATGCTGAGCATGATGTCACATGGTCTGGAATACCCCTTTTGCCAGTTGGGGTCAGCTGTCCCGGCTGTGTCCCCTCCCAACTTCTTGTGCACCCCACACTGGTGGGGTGGGAAGCAGAAAAGGCCTTGGCTCTGTGTAAGCCCTGCTCAGCAGGAACAAACCCCTCCCTGTGTTAACCAATACTGTTTCCAGCACAAACCCAAAACATAGTCCCATACGAGCTACTATAAAGAAAATTAACTCTACCCCAGCCAAAACCAGCACACCCTCCTATTTCAGGGTCATTCCAGTATTTCACTGAATTCAGAGAAGGAAACACAGGAATTTACTCACTCCGAATCAAAACCAAGTGCTAGTTCCCTGTCCTTACAGTTTATCTTCAGCAGTCTGCACCAGATAACTAAACTGGAGAGAATTTAGGCGGTGTCCGTCTGGTTTGCATAGCAGAAGACAGCAATAGGAAGTTAGTGGAACTATGATGGCTCCTTTGTACGTATGTATTAGACCTCATCATCATCTCTATATAGTGAATGCATGCTATTTGGCCAACAACTCAAGCAACTTCACGTAACTATGGATTAACTATGGAGGCAAAAAGCGTCGGCAGACAGTATTTACATGAAGTCTACACTGGTCTTACCTCAGATATTTTCAAATTGTGAAACTCCCCTGTTAAGTGCTTCACCCAGACAAAGAATTACGGATTTAAGTCCATAGTCTGAACATACTAAGGTAGACTAAAACTGTGGAAAATAATGCACTGAAATACTCTGAAGTACTTTAAGCAGCTTCCAAAACAAGTATTAATCTAGAAACATAAAGAATGAGGATTGAGGTATCAATATCCTAGTGTTTATCATTATGGAAAATCATGTGAAGTCATATTTCTAGGTACTTTGAAGATTAGAACAGTAATTCTAATAGCAGTATCAGTGGATTTTAGCCAGCTATTAGCGTGGAAAGCAGGTGCGTTGCTTGGTCTTTCGCAGTATTTTTTAAAAAAATGTAGCCTTAACCTTGAAGGTTCAGTACCAGCCTTTGAGTCACATCTAGCCTGAAAACTTTTTCATGACTGTTCAACTGGACTTATATTCCTTTTTGTAGCAGAGGTTAGTTACAGCTGTGTCCACAGCTCCAGCTAGAAACACAGTAAAAGCTACTAGTTCTAGCTAAGGAGGTACTACATGAGAACACTATAGGATAACCACATGTTCAGTTACTGTATGGAAGAGAATTGTCCAAGTAATTTTTTTTTAATAACAAGTATCAGGGGAAAACCAGGCATGTTCTTTTAAAGTAGCTGGTACTGTAGAGATGATTCCACTGCAGGCTGATAAAGCCTACAAAGATATGAAGTCTTACACGATTTATGGTCAAGCTTACTACCAAGGAATGGTGTAACAGTTAAGATTTCCTGTTTCATCATATCCTCACACTTCTTGCTGTGACAGCATGTACTCCTTTAGTCAGAAGTTTTAAAATCTCTCATACAGGTGGACAACCAGCTCTGAAATTGAGATGCTTACCTCAGATATCTTAAATATATGCAAGCTAGAGATACATAAAAACTTTGCTAGGTCTGCCCATAAGAAATAAGGTAAGTCTCAAACAAATGGGCCCACCAAGCAGTTGTCCAGACTTGACTGAAGTGGAGCATAAGAAAGCAACACATGCTTCATGTATTCACAGTAATCACGTGCCTGAGGTTGCCAAGGGCTGAGCTTATAAGCAATGCTTAGAAGTACTGGCAATTTGTTCTCAAAACAAAGAAATCCATCATACAAGGACATATAATAAAACCAAGTAGAATAAGCTGCACACTAAATGAAGAAGCCTGCACCAAGGCAGTCTGAAGCACAAAGGAGACCCAGCTACTACAGGCAGAATAGGATGCATTTATTTACTTGTGCCTGTGCAGGCAGCACCGGGAAGGAATGACTGGGTCAATGCTCTAGCTGTCTGAGTTGCAGGTCTGTCAGAAAAGCAATGAAGTCTGTTTGTCCACAGCTACAAAGCTACTGCAAGCTGAAAGTTATCCTAGCACTTAGTTAGGGCCTACTGTATTTCCCTGTTAACACACAGAGTTAAGTCTGAACAAAGAGGTGCTAGTTAAACTCCTGCCACTTAGCCTTTATTGGGAGTGTTCTAGAAATAAGCCTCTTTATTAGCTAAATTCAAAATTAGCATGCTTAAAACTTAAAACTGAATACAGGTTTGTATTCAATGTTTAAGCCTTCATTTTGTCTATAGCAGTAAAAAAAAAACCCTAGGTTCCCTAAAGCTTTATCCCAAGTTTCTCATCTCAGAACTTGCCAAAGGAATTAAACCAAGACTGGAAGTATGATTACCCTCTAAAAATCTATATGAAAAAGAAATCTAAGCTTAGAATAAACCCAAGATCTTTATGGCAGTAACTTTATGAAGTCATGCCAGACAACTTGTTTTGGCATCTGCATGGTCGCAGGGGAGAACTGTTTAAAGTTGGAAGTTGTGAAACCAGTTACCAAGAAACAGCAGCTTTGTATCAGGTCTTAAGTACATTCTGTTTGGGTCTTTAGTTGCATTGAAATAAGCAGATAGCTGAACTGCTTTCACCTTGCATAGTTCTAGTTCATCCTTAGCTCCACCCATCAGGCTTTTGTAGTAGCTCCCTTAGTACACTCAGACAAGTACTTCCTACTGCTGAAACAAGACTATTGAAGCTTTTAAAAGTAGAAAGAGCCAGTGACCTAGTCATCTTACTAGTTCATACTTCCATTTTAAACACTGAAATGCTTTATAGTATTTTGACATGCTGCAGCTTAGACAAGGACATACCTCATGGCCTTTCAGTTCTCAGGCCACAAAAGATTGCTGAAGACTGGTCTCACAGCCCTTTAGCTGTAAGGAAGGAGTTTCATAAATGCTTCCCAGCATTTGTATTCAGGTTTGGTTTAAAATGCAAGCAGCAGGCTTCAACTACAAGTACCAAGTTCCTCAGCAGTTCTCTGAAAGGAAGAGATAACTTGCATATGATTACAATCTGATTCAAGTCTCATGGGGGAGCGAAGCCATACATGTTTGTGCTCCACAAGGGTCAATTTTAACTTTAAGATATATTGCAGTTGAGTAATAAAGCACAAGCCAGCCCCTCAGTTGTTCAGACTGTTTCAAGGTTTAAGAATTTCAACTACATCACTACTAAAGGACAGGCAATGTGACAGAGCTAGATTTTAGTCCTAAGGAAGTATGCAGCATTTTACTTCCGATTTCTTGACCTTCTGGTTAGAAAGGGAGCAGGTATGTAACTAAATCTTGAATTCATTTTGATTAAGGAAACACTCTTGAGAATGGCATCAAGAAAGAACTAAAACAATAATACCATTTAAACTGTACAGTTTACCCCAAATTGTTGAAACCTGAAACAGTTCTATGTAATAGCATGCATGTGCACCCTGCACCAGGAATAAGCTCAGTTAGATACATTTTAAAAAATAAAGACCACTGGCAAGATTAATACTAAAATGCATATTAACTTGTTTTATTGAGGCACAACAAGGCATTGTGAATAGCCCATACTTGAGGCAATCAACAGTGTAGTAAGCTGGACATTAATACAGTTTAGGGTAAGTGCAAACAATATACATTCACAGCTTTACTAGCAAGGCTACATCACAACTGATAAAGTGCCAAATTAGTGCTGATTCAGTACCCCAACTCCATGATTTCACCTTGCACAACAGGACCATCATTTCCCCCAATAATGGAACCATGTATCTTCTATAAAGTCAGTAGTAAGTGCAAAGCTAGTCCCACCCCCCTCCACCAAGGTGTTTGGAGCAGCTCTTTTGTAAACATCGCACTGGATTTTAGTCCTGATAAAGGAGGTATCCCGAAAAGGTGGAGTATTTCCAGCTGCTTCCATAGATGGCTCCCCGATGCAGACGCAACCAGATCTGATCTCCCTGGAACAGCTGCAGGACTGCATGGTTACTAGCTGTTTCATGATCAGGAGCCCCATCATTTGCATATGCTGACACTAGGACCTCTTCATTCTTCATGAGATTCACATACAGGGGAACATTTACAGCCAGTTTCAGCATGTGGAAGATGAATACGTATGTACCATTTACTGGACAGTTGAACCTACCAAGCTGGATATCAAAAGTTTCTCCAAGGTTGTTCAGCAAGAGATCAAACACAATTGGCTGGTCTAGAGTTCCAGGGGCCAAGTTAGATGTTCTAGCGGCAGAGAAGGCGACTCTCATCTGCTGCGGGAGGGGATAGACATGCACTGGTAGTATGGTGGCAGCTTGGCTCGTCACCGGCATATCAACAGGGGTGATGCTGCGGGAGTCTCCCTGTCCAGAGTCCCCACTGTTAAAGGTTTCATTGTCTCGTTCAGGGCTGCTCACCTGAGAAGAATCACTCCACCCTGCTGTTAAAGATCATTAGCAATGATAAATAAGTATTATAACACAAGGACACCCTTAAATCTGTGGGCATAATCTTAAGCAGCAAGCGTGTGGGCTTTGCAACAGACTTGTCTTTCAGCTACAGAAGTTGTCAGGTGACCCCAGTGAGAACAGAACTTTGAGGCTGGGTTTAATT